CGCAACGAAATAAGACTTAAAGGAGTTAAGCGCTAAATCCATTAATGCGTTTCGAAATTACGGTAAAAATGACCCCTATCCAAAAAAAATTTTATATACCTACGTATGCCCAAGCTATAAAAGCATTCGATCCAGCTAATGCGCCGTTTTTACGATATAGTGGTTAGAGTACTTCGGACATCCAGCTAAGTTCAGAAGTAACCAAAGGTTTCTACATCTCACCAACACCTACACTGCCAACTAATGCAATTTCATTGCCTAGGTACAAACTTGTCGGTCAAGCATTGACTTTAAGACAGTTAAATGAAACAAACGATAGAATGATGCCCCTCGACATTACTCATGCAGTCAAGAAATGATGTACGATCTTCGATGAGCCATTAGTTGGGAAACAGTTGCCACAGATATAAATGATTACATCTACTTTATTATAAACTTTTGCGAATGCTGTTAAGAGCATAAGCAGTAAAAAAAGCTGGTTCGACAAAAACGTGAGAGGCAAAGACAATAACAAAGAAGAACAGAGTTTCATTGCTTTAGTCTTTTCTGCATTAGACGTAAGGGCCGCTGTGCTGTTATAATCGTCGTTATATAAGGCCAGAAACGCCTACTCATCAGAGTACTCAGACTGAAGAACTCTGACTCGTTTGCAATGGTGTTTCAGATTTGTAAATCCAAAACTTGCTGACGTATGTAGCTCTTCAAAACAATTTCACTGTAGAAGCAACCGAAACAAGGTACAGATCCCGAAACTGTACTGGACTTTGTGACACTATTAGTCCGATGTTGTTCAGTCCACAGAACGTCGGATTCAGAACTGGGAGGTCAAGGGTTCGAGCCCTGGTCGGGTAACTCGTCTTTCTTCTGAGACTGATATACCACTACCACTCTGTGGGAAAGAAGCATGATACTACGGAATGAGACGTTTCGGTGCATAATGTTTGAGCGCAGAGCGCTGGTTGCCGCCAAGCTTCGGTGTGACCACGGTCGACTTAAATCCGTATAACTGAACAGTGATCAACTGCATCAGTTCCACCACTTTTGGCGGCGGTGAACGGTTTATAGCCATTGGTGGCGGTTCGAGCGGTTTCACCAAAATATCTGACCCGCAGATACTCAACTTCTGCACGGAGAAGCTTCGTGTCGCCTGATGGAACGGGCCCGAACGTTGAACGACGATGGCAAAGTGGACGATGTTACTCGCATCGTTGGGCGACACAACATTTTGGAACTCTCGGATACCCTACCTATCAGGCAACGGACATCAACGGCTTCGAAGGCAGTTCAACTGATCTGGCAACCAGGACCTTCGCTGAGAGGACTGATTTGCAGTTCTGCTGTCCCTCAGATCAGCGAACGCTACGTTATCCGTCGAATACACAAGCGAATGTTTCATCGTTGGCCGATTCGCGACATGCCGCGTTAAGAACAATATTTATCGGCGTGTATGCCCCCAATAACGTTGCGGAGGACCGGAAGAAGGGTTAGTTCTATATCCGCCTTCGAGTGATTCATGGTTCCTTCCGGAATCATCAACGATCATCGCCAGCGACCTGAGCGCCCACGTCGGCGCCGACCGTGACAGCTGGACCCGCTTGCAAGGTAGACACTACAGCGGTGTTATCAGTAACTATCGCCCGACTTCGTCACTGTTTCTGCATCTACGCATCCATCAGCAGACGTGGACAGAGCCAAAGGCAACTTCAGCAGCTAATTCGATCATGTACTTATCAACGACAAATGGCGAAATGCCCTCCACGATATTCGGGCAAGACGGTGCGGACATCCCAACTGACCATTTCCTACTACTCACGAAGCTCCGCCTTCATCTGACAACAACAGGAGGAATAACCAGAAAAGGGGAAACGTCCGCTCTGGTAGAAGTTGAAGGACCCCGTCATTAACGAGACGTTCCAGATGGAAATCAGCAGCAAATTCGCTGCTATGAAAGAAGTCACCAGATCTGCTCTATCACCGGCTTAAAAAAGGCATCGTCGACGCCTGCCAACGCTACTGGCTTCAGCAGCAGGAACTCGAAGCAATTCAGAATAATGACTGAAACATTTAGTCTTCGCCAGAAAATGTGGCGAAGCAGGCGTCATTACATGTCCCTGACGAAAAGAACAAAAGACCGCTTTCGCATGAAAGGGGTCGACAGGAACTACCCGAAGGATACGCAACGATGGATGGACCTTGAAGCACCGAAGTTACAAAAAAGTAAGAAGTTAAAAAAGGCTTCATCTTCATCTTCCATCGCCGCTTCTCCTTTCGGGTCGCGGAGGCAGACGCGTCAGACAGTGCTTC